TGACTCATTTGCGCCCTCGTACAACGGCTGGGCAACACCGTCTTCCAGAGCGCTCACTGAGGAACCATATCCTAGTCACCATGGCGATGACGCGCTTTCGGGCCAGGTGGATGCGGCATCAGTTCGTGGTGGAGATGGTGACGATGGACATGGATATGACGGCGGCGTTGTGGAGGAGCCCCCAGGCCCAGCAGATGAAGTCGTGGACGGCGACGCGCCTCCGCCGCTGCCTCCTGCGCCACTCCCAGCGCATCGCGGTCCCGCAACACCAGCAGACATCGCATTAGCAACGCACTTCGGCACCATCCGGTACTACGCCAAGAAGAACGACTTCGTGGCACGCTGCCCCAGACATGGGCCGAAATGCAGTCTCACCAGGACGGTGCGGCCTTCGCCTTTAGTTCACAAGGCTGCTCAGGGCCGACCACTCGGGGCCTTGATGCTGTGGCTGCAGAAGCCTTGGGACGACGACATGGATTCCCACTGGGCTCATGTGCACGCTTGCCCTCTACCGCCTGGGGGCAGACAGAACGCCAGGCGAGCCCTGGCGGACATGCCTGGGAGCGGCGATCTGTTCGCCATGGAGCGCGGGCGTCGCGGCGGCGAGCCCGACGAGCCGCTCGATGTACCTTGAGATTTGCAGCGCAAGCTGCGTGCTGTACCAAAACACAGACAGATGCTTGATCCGCCTAGCGTTGCGCGAGGAGAAGGATAGGGAAGAAAGAGACGGAAGAGCCCTTACTGGGCCTTGCCGTGGGACTTTTTGGGGCCTTTCTGTGCAGTGTCTTTCTGTGTTTCGTGGCACTATTGGCCAACCTCTTGGGGTGCATATTGGGGCTCTTTGGTGGGGGCGTGTCTTGGATCTCTTGGGGTGGTGCACTATTGCGGGGCCTCTTGGGGTTCTTGGAGGCGCTGCTGCTATGGTCTTGGGGCACTATTGCTGCGCTCTTGGGGCAGTATCGCTGCGCGTGTTGGGGCTCTTGGGGGGCATGTTTGTAGGACTCGCGGGCTATTGCAGCCGCGCGAAGTGTCGCATCCACCACGTTTCATCCTCTTTGCGCCTACTTGTGAATATCGTGATTGCCGTTCCGCCGACCCCCACGCCCACCGAAATATTCAGAGACCCCCCCTTTCAGTTGGTCTCGTAATGGTTAGATGTGGCGCGCACTGGGCGGCATTTGGCCATGTAGCACCCGTTGTCACCAAGTGAGCCCAGGGGCGATCTAAGTAAGCCCCCCTAGGCACACAAAAGAACACCCACGACAATCCTATGTGGGCCATTGGAAGTCATTGACGCCCGCGTGCGTGGGTTGGGGGCCGATGACCAGTCTTCAGGGCGCTCATGGGGGAGGGGCTTCAATGGGCCTCGGAGGACCACCGCGCGCTACCTCGCGATCCTTCTTCTGGCTTTGTGAGACATTTATAGCCCACCAAAAGCGCCTCACCTGACCTCAGGAAATGATTCTGAACGCTTCCCAAGGGCACATGCAACACCCTCAACGAGCTTCCATGGGGTCGTTCACAGGGGGAAGAACCACCCACCTCATACGAGGCAGTATGGTCCTCCACAAGTGCCCTGGGAAGGCTTCCACGCGCTCGCATCAGAACCCCAGGAGGTCTCCGAGAGGGCCTTCGCGCCCCCCTCCCACCACCACCCCAAAAGTCTCACCAGGGGCTCTGTGGCCCAAATCCCAAGAACTTGCTGTAAGGCTTCCCAGAAGCGCCCCGGAGAGCCTCATGAGGCCAGCCCCCATCAGGCCCCCCAGGATGCCTAAATCGATCCCTGAGGGAACCCTGAGACTCCTCGAGGAGCTTGGGCGGACCCGAAATGCGCCCATTTGCATTGCCCAGCCACCTGCTGCTACTCCCGCCTGCCGTACTTTCCATGCCCCATCTCTTGCGATTGCTCTAGGGCGAAGCGGTTTCAGGCGCCTCGCTGTGCAAGCGCCCCAGGGAAAATGCCCGTTTGTGCGTTCCCTTGTCGCAAAGTAAGAAAGCATGAGGGGAAAATTCCAGACTACGCGTTTCCCTCTCGCAGACCCAGGAGGCGCCAGCAGGGAAAAAAAAAACATGCGTCGGATGGAAACACCAACGAGGAGAGGGAAACTTAGATAATGCAGTTTCCCTCTCCGAAACCCAGTGCGACCTGCAGAGAACATTTAACATGGCAGATTTCCCTCTCTGTAACTGATGCAAGTAGGCGGGGTCACTAGATTTCCCTCTCTGCAATGTAGGCAGGTACTCGGGCCCTCGAGACATCCAGAAGTGAGGGGGGTGAGGTTCGCACCGCATGGGACGCACGCGCTCTCGCGAGTCGCTGCTCGCTCCGTCTCCCCTCGTGCTCTATGCTGGTCATAGGGGGAAGAGGGCCCGTTCAGACCTTAAAGGGCGATGGGGAGGGGTGTGTGTGGGGGGGGGGGGGGGGGGGGGGGTGGTGGGCGGGGGGAGGGAGGGCGGGGGGAGGAAGAGGAGTGAGATCAGGGGGTGCGAGGGGGAGGGGAAGGAGGAGGAGGATCTTGAGGGAATAGTAGGTGTGGCATAGGAGGGGGAAGGAGAGGAAAACGGGCAAACCATGAGTGGGGCCAAAAAAGTGGCACCCGTAGGACATCCATTCGAAAGCGCATTGGTTTGCCACCCCCGAGGCGAGAGGAAAAAAAGAAAAAAACAAGAAAAAAAACAAGAAAAAAACAAGAAAAAAACAGAAAAACAAAAAAAAAAAAAAAAAAAAAAAAAAAAAAAAAAAAACTCGGGGTGGCGGGTTGCGCCGCCCCCCTCCCAGACGAAGTTCAACTTCCAGCAGTATGCTAAGGAAGCCGGGCGCTCTGGGCTCTCGGGTTTGTAGGCGCTTACGGGATGTCTCGGGGCTTCAGGATCTTGGGGCCCTTGGGACTTTAGGCTCTTGGGGCCCTTGGGGGTGCCCTGAGGGGTATTGTTTCGATCTTTGGGGTTAGGACTCTTTGGGCCCTTGGGGCTTTAGGCTCTGGGGTGATATCTTGGGGCTTTTCGGTTTCTTGGGGCGTTGGGCTATGTTGGGGTATCTTCGGGCTTTGGGCTCTTAGGGCTATTCGGGCTTTGGGCTCTTGGGTTTCTTGGCTCTGGGCGTTGCCGCGCGTCGAGCATGCGCGGGCGTTGCCGCGCGTCGAGGGCAACCTGTCTGCGTTGATGCCTTGCGGCCATGCCGCGACCCCCGATTGTGAACAACGACCAAATCTTTTGAAACAGCGCCACTATAGAAGGAGGATGGCGAGGAGGAGAAGGAGGATGAGGAGGAGGCGGGACGAGGAGGAGAATAATGAGGAGGGGGAGGAGGAGAAGGAGGAGAAGAAGAAGGAACGCTGTTTCAACAGATTTGGCCATCGCCACAATGGAACGCTGTTTCGAAAGATCTGGGCTGAGCTGAAGAACCGTTCGAAGGCGGTGCCTTGACCATAGAGAGTCCAAGGAGGGGGTATGGCGTCGTTCGGAATCGTGCCCTGCTGTAAGGGATGCCGTTGGGGGCCCCCTGCAGCAGGAAACGGCCCTGGCGGCTCACACATCCTCCCGCTCCTGCAGTTGAGGACTCCCCCTCCGCTCCTGCCCCTCCTCCTTGTCCTCCTGCTCCTCTTTCTCCTCCGTCTCCCCCTCCTCCTCCTCCTCCTACCCCTCCTCCTCCTCCTCCTCCTCTTCCCCCTCCTCCTCCTCCTCCTCCTCCTCCTGCCCCTCCTCCTCCTCCTCCTCCCCTACTCCTCCTCCTCTCTCCTACTCCTCCTGCTCCTCTTCCTCCTCCTTCTCCCCCTCCTCCTTCTCCCCTCACCGTCCCCAGTGTTATGTTCCTCATCATCCTCTTGCGCTTCCTCCGCCCTGCTTATCATCCTTGTTCCTCCCTCCCCCTCCTCCCTCTCATTCCCCCCCCCCTTTCCTTCCCCCCCCCCCCCTCTTCGCGCGTTCTCTTTCCCACCCTGCTCCTCTTCCTCCGTTGCCCTCTCCACGCCCCCTCCCTCCCCTCCTCCTTCTGACATTCCTCATCGTTCTCCTCCGATCTTTCTCCTGCCCCCATCTCTCCTCCTCCCTCCCCCTGCTTTCTTCCCCCCCCCCCCCCCCCCCCCCCCCACCCCCCCCCCCCCCCCCCCCCCCCCACACCCCACCCCACCACGCCCCCACACCCCACCCCCGCCCACACGCACACGCACACACACACACACACACACACACACACACACACACACACACACCACACACACACACACACACACACACACACACACACACACACACACACACACACACACACACACACACACACACACACACACACACACACACACACACACACACACACACACACACCACACACACACACACACACACACGCACACGCACACGCACACGCACACGCACACGCGCACGCGCACGCGCACGCGCACGCGCACGCGCACGCGCACGCGCACGCGCACACGCACACGCACACGCACGCGCACGCACGCACGCACGCACGCACGCACACACACACACCCCTTCCTCCTCCTCTTCCTCCTCGTCGCCCCTCCCTCCCCTCCTGCCCGTTTGCTCGAGGATGCAGGGCCAATGGAAACCCGAAAAGTCAGTGGCAATGAAAACCCGATGAACCATGGAAGCCCAGGGGCACCCGAGGACCCGAGGACCGATGTAACAAGTTTTTGTTCGGCTCAGCTCATGGGGGTGGCACCGTGTAGGTCCGACCCCACCAACGCATACACATCGATTATTGCAGTCAAGCGATCGCGTCCGTAACCACGTTGGCTCAATCGTTTCAGGGCTTAAGTTGCCCCACTTTTTCCACTTCGAGAAGTGATTGCATGTGAGGACATCAGACATTGAGGCTGCCGGTGCCGACAGCAGGGGCGATCGTGGCAAAGTCTGGCCGCCGTGGGCAATGCCCATGCTCCTTCTGCGAGCAGAACGCACCAGCGGGTGCTAGCCAACGAGGGTTCGAAGGAGAATAGGTATACGAGGAAATTGTCCAAGAGAGTTCTCTAGCTGAGGTGTTCAACTTCCAGCCTCGTGGCGGCTTCAAGGATGAGCACGGGTGCTTGCCCGACCAGGCGAAGGCGATGACTTTGCGAGTGACGAACGCTAAGGGCGAGGATTCCTTCGGAGTGGTGGCCCTACAGGACGAGGCGAAGCCACCGACGCTCAGGGCCACGACGACGAGACGGCTCGTTCGCAGGATTCCGATTCTGAAGCCAGAGAAGAACTTCTACAAAGCCCAGCCCAACACCCTCTTCGAGAACCTGCCCAATGATCGGGCACGCGCGCGCGGGCAGACATTTGGCAACAAGTACCAGCCCAAGGCCAAGAAGTTCAGCGCCTACTCCAAAAAGTGGATCAAGGCTCATGTGAAGAAGAACTTCTCGAAGGCGAAGGGCTTGCGCCGCCGCGTGGAAGGATGGGGCCCCGAGCACGACGACGACTCCATGGGCGACTGCAGCGGCGATGCTGGAGGGCCCGAGGATGGTGGAGACAACGCCGCGGCCTCTGCGGCTTCTTCAGCGGCTGCCGCCCCCGCAGCCGCGGTGGCAGCGGCCTCGGGGCCGCCTGGAGCTGCAGTTGCCAGAGGCGCCCAAGCCCGCGACGCCTTCTCCTGAGTCGGCGTCATCAGGTCCTCAGGCCAAGCGCGAGGACGTTGCAGCTGACTGATATCCCTACCTGCAACGCAAACGCCCAGCGCGAAGAGGCACAAGACGAAGGCTGGAATCGCACCTTCCGTGGCCGACTCTACGGGGGCGCAGCTTGGTGACAGCGAGGGCCGCTTGAAGCCTCCAGAGTACTGGTGCGCCGCTGTTGCCACGTCCAAGGCGTTCGCCAGCGCGGCCTTGAAGAAGAACGTTGCCTGGGCGAAGGACTGCGTCGCGCGCTTGGCAACCCAGGGCGAGGCGGTGGCGGCGAACTACCTCTCTGAGCACATCGCGGCGGTGGAGTTGTCCATGCAGCTGATGCGCGACCTTGGCAACGACACCTACTCCTTCGACGACTTGAAGGGCGCCTTGACTGAGCTCGTCGACGCGAAGGCGGGCTTCGATTCCAACATCAGGAGCAAGCTCCTTGGGAAGAGGCTGCGCTCGTCTGTCAACGCCTTCGGGAAGGAGGAATTCGACGAAACTGCCATCTGTGAGCTCGCATCCGTCATGATGCCGTTCAAGGCTGGCCAGCGCGCAGCCGACGAAGACGCGGTCTTGGAAGGCACCGGGGTCACGGAACTGATGACGGCGCGCGCTGAGGAGGATTTCGGCCCGATCAATGTGTCCATGGCAACGCTCGTCGGCACGATGGAGTACAAGTTCGCGCTGCTGCTGACGGTGCTCTTGAAAGAGATCATCCCTGCGGTCAGTTCGCGACAGGCGTTGAGAAGGAAGCCCAAAATCCCAACGGCTGCCGTCGATGCGCTGAACGTGCTCCGCGTCATGTGCGCCCTCTCCGACCAAACTGCCAACGTGGACTTCGAGGTGCTGGAGGAGTTCTACGCCGTGCGTGCCAAGAAGACCAAGGGCGCGCTTGCGGATCTAGGCGTCGTGCTCCAGTTGAACGATCAGTGGAAGCCGCTCTACGAGGAGTTGCATCGCACCCTGCAGGGCGCCAAGGAGTGAATCCCCGAGATGTTCAAGTGCGCCGAGGCGGTTGGTAACATCAAGAGCAACTTCAAAGGGCTCAAGCTTCCCCATCCGACTGTCACGGAGGCGATCGGCATCATCAAGACAATTCGATCGACATTGCGAACGGGCTCCTCGCACGTGCTCGAGGTCACTTGGAGCGGGCTCATCGGGATGATCATGGACATGGACAACATGTTCGACAACAATGGCGTGAAAAAGAACGGCGACGGCTTCACCCGCGAGGAGCTGGCTGCCGCCATCAAGGTCTTCCAGGACGGCGTGGCCTCCAGATTCTGGCAGAGGAGTTCGGCTTGAAGGCGATTGCTGACATCGACGCGGTCATTGAAGCTGCAGGCGTTCGTGAGGTCGTGGACGGACTCCTGAAGAAGATGGCCGATGGCGTCAAGGGGCCAAGTGGGAATATCGACGTCAATCTCGTGCGTGCCATCCTCCTCGAGGCCCAGGGGGTTCAAGATGGTGCGGTTACCCAGGGCAACCAGGCGGCGATTCTGCACTTCTGCAGTGGCGCGTGGGACGATACCAAGAGCGACGCGACTAGCGACAACGGGAACTTCGCGGAGATGATGATCGATATCTCTGGCATCATCCCCAACAGCAACATCAAGAGCATCTTCGCGGCGTTCAACGCGATGGTGCAAGCGAGCGCTGCCATGGCTGCCCACGTGGAGGTCTGCCGTGGCGAGTCGGAGGGCAGCCGCGTCAGCGACGAAGAGCCCATGGACAAGATGAAGACAATGATGTCGCAGAAGCTGGCGCTCGACAAGGCCTTGGGCGAGGTCGGCGGCGACGAGCGTGCTGCGATCAAGCAGGAGACGAACAACGCCGTCAAGCTCTACGTCGACAACCAGTGCAACAATGCCATGAAGCAGCTGGAGACGGCACTGGGCGGTAGACTGGAGGCGACTGCGACGCGGGGTCAGTGCTCAGACGACGGAGCGTTGTGGTGGAAGGCCGCGAAGGACGTGAACGACTTGAAGGACTTGCTGGCGAGGGCTGGCGTGACGGTGTGCGAGAGCAAGGCGGACCGCTACCTCAACGAGAAGACTGACCTCGAGAGGATGGCTAAGCACTGCGGGGACGTGGCCAGTGTGTTTCAGAGGCCCACGAAGCAGGAGCTCAATATGAAAGTGCTGGAGCTGGCTGGGGCTCTGGCGAAGTCGTACATCGAGGGCCTGGTGCGCGTGCTGTTTCAGAGCACGGAGTACACGAAGGAGGAGAGGAAGAAAAAGGTGCACGGCATCAAGATGCTGGCTGGCCGCATGAAGGCCAAGTGGCAGAGCATGCCGCAGGGCTTGCTCGAGAGACCGCGAAGGCCCTCAAGCTGCAGTAGACTTGCAGAGTGCAGCGGCTTTCGCTGCGAACTGGGGAGGGGGCTGTAAACAGAAAACCAACAGACGCCACATCAGCATCAGCAAGAACAGCACCGCAGTAGCAGCAGCATCGATGCCGGCATCGGCATCCGCACCAACAGCATCAGCATCGCCCCCCCAATCCACCTCATCAAGTTCCTCCTCCTCCCCCGTGGCAGTGTGCTCGCTACCGCGACGACACATCGAATTCCTGGTCGCCATGTTTTCCCGTCGCTCGTGAGACCCCCTCTGACGCCGCCGTCGGCGCCGTCGTCTTGCCCCCCCCTGGTCCCGTGGGCTCACCGCCATCCTGGATGACCTGGCAGAGCATCTCCACCCACGGGGGGCGGGTGGCCGCCCCAGCCGACGATGGCGACGACGGCGGCGACAACGGTTAGGGCGGCGACAACGGCGACAAGAGGGAGAGAGGGGATAGGAAGGCGAGAAGACCGCGCAAGGCGAGAGAGATGAGCAGGAGGAGGGGGAAGGAAGGGGAAGAAGGATACTACGGAGGAGGAGAAGGAGGAGGAGGAGGAGGGAAAAGGAGGAAGAGGAAGGGCAGGCGGGGGGGGGGGGCGAGGAGGGGGAGGATGAGGAGGACGAGCGAGGGGGAGGAGGATGGGGGGGGGGGGAGGATGAGGGGTGATCAAGGGGAGGGGGAGGAGAAGGAAGACAAGGAAGAGGATGATGGGGAAGAGGAAGAGACGGATACAGGAGGATGAATGGGGTGGGTAGGACGAGGTGATGGGATCATGGCGACGGGGCAAGAGGGGATATGAGGGCGAGATGGTTTGGTGATGCGCAAAATGGGCGGTGATGATGGCGCGATTGTGGCGACGGAGTACGAGGGTGATGGTTGGGGCAAGGAGCGGGTCGCAATGGGGAATGATGAGGGAATCGGGCGCTGATGGGGATAAGGATGGCCGGGTAGCCTTCGCGTTGCGACGTGGGCGCGGGCAATGAAGGGGCCGGCGACATGATGGGGGGGGGGGGGCGGGAGAGGGGGGAGGGAATGAAGAATGAGCCTGATGGCGCAAGGTGTAGCACACGGGTCGGAGGGAAGAAGAGACGAAGGCAAACCGCACGGGAGAGGAGACGGGGGGGGCGACGTTGGAGAGGAGAGGAGGGGACGGGACGAGAGGAGGAGATGAGGCGGCTGGCGGCAGGAGAGAGAGAGAGGAGAAGGAATCACTTCCTTTCGCTTCGCGAGTACCAGCACGGCCCAAGATGTTGCCACAACGGCTTAACGATGGCCCAAGATGCCTCCAAGACGGCTCTGAGGGTACTGAGAGACACGGGTGCGGCTTAAGAAGTTGCAAAATGTGCTAAAGTGGTAGCGGAGCGTTTGCGTCAATGGCGCGAGCTGCGGCTCGTGCGCTGCCAAGTTTGCATCGTGGCGCATGTGACAACTGTTGGCGTGTACATAGCCTTGATCGGTGAAAGTATTCTTGAAACGCGCGCGCAGAAACAAGCGCAAACCGGAGAGAAAAAGAAAAAACGACGCGACCAAAAAAAAGAAAAAAATACAAAAGGGAAAAAAAGAAGGGGCTTTAGAGAAACAGCATGTTTCAAAAACCGCCTTGCAAAAGCTTTTTTCATAGCTCTGCGATACCTTTGCGGTGCCTTTCGGCGGAACCCAACATAGCCTCTGCAGAAGCGTGGCGGGGAAAAAAACAAAGCTTCTTGATCGCCCCCCTGTAGGAGCCCTGCCCGACATAATCCTACTGGGACTCGTTACTGCGGCACAGCAGAGCAGGAGCTTGGCTTCGCCGGAGGCGAAGCTGTTGGTCGGGCCCCCCAGCCCCCTTTCAAACTTGGTAGCGGAGCTGGCCTATGGTGGTCAGCTCTCGCTCAACTCCTCACCATCCACGGCACTATCTGGTGAACTACGGACATGGTGGAACATCAGGGCTCAGTGGGTCTGCGCGGAGGAATGTATATAACTACGCACTATCGCAAGGAACTTGCAGCGATACCTCTGCCCACGCGGAGGTCTCTTACTTACGTCCTGCATCCCTGCGCTTCTAAACTCCTCAAGACCACCCACCTAATCCAATTGAGATTTCTTGGAAGATGCAATGCGCGGAAACATGCGATGCGACGCAGCGCCGCCCCCACCCCCACGCAGACTCACGACCGCACAACGGAAGCCCCAACCGACTACATCCGACCACGACCCACGAGGTCATTGGATTGGCATTAGTATCTTTGGCCTCGCATGGGTCGCCATCGGGAGCGCGGTAGGACATCTGCGTGGCGGAGACGACGCAAGAACGACCGGCCCTTACTGGGACCCAGCCAGTCAAGTACCTTTTTCGCGAATTCGTCCGCGAAGTGCACGCCTGGAAAAACGTGACCACAGGCGCTACGACGCCCCCCCAGCAGGCTGCAGATCTGCAGCGAGGTTGGGGAGGTCTCGCACGGAACATAGCGATGACAGTTCCCCCAGCAGTTATTAACTTTGGCATAAACATAGGAGGTCGCCATACCGACGGCGCCACCTACATCGTGTTCCTCTCAAGCACGAAGTTCGAGAACTTAGGAAAAGAAGCGCCAACTCAACTCTGGTACCGCTCTCGTTGACTTCCGAGTTCATGCGGGAGAACGCATCGACCAGACGTTCGCTCGTTTTGAGATAGCCCGCTATGAAGCTGAAACGGCCGGCTTCAATACCCCCAATTTCCAAATCTTAACAGCGATTTTGTTTAGGGCTCTTGGGGTGGGGACATCGACCGCACAACATCTCCTGCAGCCTTTAAACCACCGCATGCCGAGATACCACCAACAATGTGACGCTCTACTCGAACGTACGAGGTCATATGCTCACATTGCTGAGAGAACCCCTGGTAATATTGGTGGTATTTTCAATCGCGGTCACCGAAGCGAGACCTTTCACGTGGAGGCTAACGCAGGGCAGCCTGCTAACAACGTCTGGAATGATGATCCACAGCCAACTGAGACCACTACACTGCTGGCTCAGAATGGTGGAACGGCCTCGGGGTCGCAAAACTCCTGGGCCAGGCTTCGGGGGACGCCTGACGCGGGGCCCCCCGTGCAAGCCATGGCCGTAATGGGCTCAGCGGGGCAACCCGCCGAGTCCGACTTCGACTCCGGTGCTGATACCGATGCGTCTTCGGACGATGAAGCCACAGCCCTTGACTACTCGGATATGCCCACATACCTCACGGAAGAGCAAGAGGCGCAATGGTCATTTTTAGGAAACCAAAAACACAGGCGCAGACGGCGGCGATCCATGAAGAGACTGGCCCGTACGGCGTATCGCACGACGAGCACTCACAAGAACAGGCAAGGGTCGAAGTAAGGGTAAAGGTAGGCGTCGGCGATTGCATGGTAGAGGTATAGTAGCATTCCGAGCATCCCTCACCGGACCACAATACGAATACATGTTTTCCCCACATTCAAAGTGGGGTTCTGATTTTCTCTACACCCGCGCCGCACCCGCGTTCACCTCACCTCCTCCTTCTCGCTCGTACACGGGGGTGTGCAGGGAGTGGTCCCTCACCGCGGTCTCTGTCCGCCCCAGGGTCGCCGGGCGTGGCAGGCGTGGCACTTTCTCGACACCAGAGGGGGTGCGCAGGGGGTGGTCTCTCACCGCGGCCGCTA